AGACACAATGTGATATATATGTAATTCCTTATACAGATGGACATTTAAGACATTTTATATATATCTCGACTCAAATTTCTTTTTGTCGAAATATTTTTGTTTTAACAGAATGACCAAACATAATAATTGCTTACAAAAAGTTCTATATTATACTTAATTTTTATCTATTTATTTTTTTAGAGACAAAGTCTTGCTCTGTTGCCCAGGCTGCAGTACAGTGACACAATCACAGCTCATTGAAATCTCAAATTCCTGGGCTCAAGCAATCCTTCCAGCTCAGCTTCCCAGGTAGCTAGGACTACAAGCATGTGCCACCACTGCTGGCTAATTTTGTACTTTTTGTAGAGACTGATCTTGCCATGTTGCCCAGGTCTTAAACTCCTGGACTCAAGTGATCCTCCCACCTCAGCCTCCCAAAGTGTTAGAATTATAGGTGTGAGCCACCACACCTAGCCTACTTAATATTATTCAATGTTTACATAACTTTAATTTTCATATATTCCAGGAGAGTTAGAAATGCCACTAACTCCTCTATTCCTAACATGCCAACATACTTCAGTGAATTCATTATGCACAGAACTTCAGACATTTCCATTATCTCCAGTTTGTAAAATGTAAGTAAAGATTATATCTAGAACCCAAGTTGCAATTCAGAACAAGCAGTCTTTATTTAAATCTCTCCATATAAAAGCAATTCCCAAGATACCTCTATGAAAAAATTTAAGAGCTAGTACAGTGTCTATAATAAGTAACTAAAAGGAATATATAAATATATGTATATGTTTGGTTTTATATGCAAAGAGTATCTTTAGAAGGGCACACAAGAAACAGGTAATACTGGTTGTATCCAGAAAAGAACTAGGTAACCTAGCAATGTGGGTAGGAGAGTTTTCACAGTATGGCTTTTACACATTTCAGTATTTTTAATGTGAATATATTATTAAAAATAAATAACTTAAAAATTTTTTAAGATCCTGGCATTGGAATAGTATGCTTAGGACATTGCCACTGGACACTTGCTAATGGCAGTCCCTACTGGCCGTCACTGCCATGAAAGGCAATGTAGTGGTGTATTAGTTTGTTAGGGCTGCCCTAACAAATACCACAGATTAGGTGGCTTAAACAACAGAAATTTATTTCCTCACAGTTCTGGAGGCGAGAAGTGTAAGAATAAAGTGTCAGCCAGGCTGGTTTCATTCTAAGACCTCCTTCCTTGGCTTATAGATGTCCCCGTGCCTTCATATATTCTTTCCTCCATCATTGTCTATACCCCAGTCTCCTGTTCTTATAAGGACATGAGTCATGTTGTATTAATGGCCCTGTTTAACTTAATTACCTCTTTAAAGACCTTGTCTCCAAATACAGTCACATTCTGAGGTACTGAGGATTAGGACTTCAACATAAGAATCTTGTGGGGCCACAATTCAGCCCATAATAAGTGGTTAGAAGCTCTGAACTAGAGCCAGATTGCCTGGCTCTATCACTTTCCAACTGCAACCTTAATTGTTCTGGGCCTCGGGTATTGTAATCTACAATACTGGGATAATAATAATATCTACCTCATAAGGTTGTTAAGAGGTCTACTAAGATATTTGTCATAGGTCTGTGGCCAGAAATAGCCAAAGATCACAGAGCAGTGTGGACGATCATTGATCAATAGATTTGGCTATCAGTTTATTCTCACTAAGAGTACCAGGGGTCATGTCCTATCTCTAACAGAGGACATCCACTTACCTTGTTCACCTCTTGTCAATATGGTCTCAGTATTGGGTGAACCAGACATACAGAACCAAGGCTTGATTCATAAACTTGTTCAGTACCCCATCGTTATTGCACAGAATAGTCTGAAATTGTAAAATTGATATTGCAGGGCTAGGTCGTTATATTCTAGTTTGAGCCAAAATTGCAGAGCTTAATAGCCCAGTATCCTTGCCCTTTGACAGAGTCTGAGATAACTTTCATTGCTATCTTAAACCATGTAGCATACATGTAACTTAATGTTTTCTAAGATTGATTAGTCTGCTCTCCTGGAATAAAGCCGCTCCAGTCCTCTGCTTCTTATGCCAGTTACAAAATTGGGAACATAACCAGTACAATTAGTCTACTATAAACCTAGAACTTAATGTGTCCTAAAATAACATATTTTCAGGAAAATGACAGTAAAGTCTACAAGTCTCTAATGAATTATTCCAGGACTGGAAACTGTGGGAGCTGTGTATTCGGTTTGAGTTCTTATTATAATTAGCTGATCTGCCAGAGGAGAGTGCTATTTGGATTACTGGGACTAACTGGAGTCAAGGCTCTATAATTCATCACTGGTTGCGTAGGCTTCTATTAATGGTCTCAGGAATGTGTCAAAGCATAAGACTAAGGGCCCTAAATATATCTTTATTTCTGGCTGAGAATTATTTACACTTCTAGAGTAAATTTGTGCTATACAGAGTTCTATCATGAACTAAGAATTGACCATATCAGATATGAATTCTAAAAAGAGCATAGGACAAGTATGGAAACTACATATACTTTGTTTAAATACTTTTAGTTCTGTTGCTAAGGTGCAAGATTTTTTTTTTTTTGAGACGGAGTCTCGCTGTTGCCCAGGCTGGAGTGCAGTGGCCGGATCTCAGCTCACTGTAAGAAGCTCCGCCTCCTGGGTTTATGCCATTCTCCTGCCTGAGCCTCCGGAGTAGCTGGGACTACAGGTGCGCACCACCTCGCCCGGCTAGTTTTTTGTATTTTTTAGTAGAGACAGGGTTTCACCGTGTTAGCCAGGATGGTCTCGATCATCTGACCTCGTGATCCGCCCGTCTCGGCCTCCCAAAGTGCTGGGATTACAGGCTTGAGCCACTGCGCCCGGCCAGGTGCAAGA